TTCTTATTTCATAAATTATATAATGGAATCTATGTATGTGATATTTGTAATACAACGCCCAGGCACATTAGGGCCTCGGTTCATTGTACCACTTTTCCATGGAGCAGTTTCGTCCGAATTTCGAATTATATATGAATGGAATCGAATTTCAAAACCTATATTTGAACAGGTCGGTGCCCTTAAAATTTGATTTGTTGGCTCTGTACGTGGCAAGGATATCATAGCTACGATTGGACAAACATGATATAAAACAAATACTTTCGGTCATATGTTTAACGGACGAAGAAATGCATAGAAAGTGTTATAGTCAACTTGGCACTTAACCGAAATGACCCCAAAAAATATGGCTCCATAAGTCAAAGTTTGACAAAAAGGCTCCAAATACAATAGTCAAAATTGCCCCTAAGATTACTCTTTAATTTCCACCAAAATCATTGGCCAAAAAATCAAAATTGTTTATTTTAATAAGTCTAATTAATACCTTTATGGTGATCATAAAAAAATAATAATAATAGTTTGTAGGTTTATAATCCGGTAGAAATATGACCAAACCATCTCCGGTGTACGCAGATATAAAGACTTTCACGTACGGCAAAAACGTGTTTTAATAAATCGACTTTATCCCTTTGAAAGCACTTCATGAACCTAAATCAATTAGTATTTAAAAATTTCGGTATGTTTGCAGAAGTCATATGGAAACATTACTTTGTTTTGTAAACGCTGATAGAGCTAAAAAATAAAAAAAAAGCTTTTAAAGTAATTATATCGAAATTTCGTGTTTTTCATTTCCTTCAATCCTTTTAAGATAAAAAAAAATACATATTGAATAACTGAGAAATACGAATTTCAAGGGACGATGGTCCGGAAATTTGATTGTAGTATAAACACCTAAATTTGGAAATGATTTGTAATCTGTCGTCAAATACTTAGTAAATGAACACATTTTTGACGAAATATATTTAAAAATTTAATTTTCAAACTTATTTAAAAACTCCCTTTTAGTAAAAAATTAACTGATTTTGGAATTTTAATCGCCGAGATATTAAAGATTGGTTCCCTTATTTTCATTTATGAAAATGAAAATTCTAAAACTTATGAATAGAAAGTAGAGGTGTTCTAATGGTAAAACACCAGTTTGTCTCACATGTCCATAATTAATTCATAATTATCTGCATTAGAAGAGAATTACCAGGATAATTCAAGTGAGTGACCGCCTAAGAAAGGTCAAAAAGTCTTTCAGATAATCTAACCACACCAAACCAATGTCTACCAATCAACCAATTAACACGATCAGAACGAGTTTGGAAGAATGAAGAAGATCGAGTAGCTCACGCCAAACCATCCAGAGCCGAGTTTCACCGCCATGTCATTCGACCCTATGGGATTTCACGAATTATCAACAACCAAACCAACACAGAATCGTCCAATTTGAACCAATCTAACTACCACAACTACCTATAGTTTGCGATATCAACATCCGCTGGAAGCGAACGTTTACTTTATATCTACCAACCAATTTAGCTTGACATTATAAGGATGTAGAATCTATAGAGATTGGGCTTACATTTCTGAACGAGTATATCCTACTAATAGCTTGACATTATGAAGATGTTACTCCCTATACTGTAAAGATAGAAAGTATTTTGACTGAAAATATTATTTAATATTAGTTATTAATACAGTGTGGTTGGCCAGTCATAATACAATTTAATTGCGATGAAATAGATTACGAAATGGAATTAAATGTAGATTTAAGTCGTATTGTTTACGCTCAGCCAATCGTATGTTACTGTTTGCTTAAAAATACATTCAAATTTAGATCATATTATTTGCTTTTGAATTAGATTCAGTTCGTTTAGAATGAATAAATCGCGTGCTTGAAGAGGACGCCACGCACATCTTTACTGTGCACCAGTTAATATAAAACAGTTTCAGCGGTGATTTATCAGCAAACACTATTGCATTGGGTAGTTCTCTAATCTAAAGACCAAAACTTGTGAAGACGATCTGGGATTTTGTGTATATTCGTGCAGATTGCAAGTTAGTAAAAATCCAAATGTGTTATTCAATTGACACTAGAACTTAGATGAACTCTGATCTAAGATAACTGTTGACTCATTTGTTTTTGTGTATATTACTTTTCTGATGCCAGTTTGTGACAGTTTCCTACATGTTATATTTTATCATTATTTAGCAAGTCGTTCAAACAAAGTATAAACTGGGGCATAATACCATGAATTGACAAGATTCGAGTGAATTTAAAGTGTTTAAACTAGTTTTCTGTTAATTCTGTAAATGCTTCTAAATTGTCTTCATCGGTGTTTTTTTTACAGACGTCCTTAGTTCAAGACTGCTCCTCTCGGTTATATATTGTAAATGCCCCTTTATTTAGCCTGTATAAGTAAAACCAGAATGGAACTATTGTCACTGTTGGTACTAGTGAAGACGATCTGGGATTGTGTGTATATTCGTGCAGATCGCAAATTAGTAAAAATCCAAATGTGTTATTCAATTGACACTAGAACTTAGATGAACTCTGATCTAAGATAACTGTTGACTCATTTGTTTTTGTGTATATTACTTTTCTGATGCCAGTTTGTGACAGTTTCCTACATGTTATATTTTATCATTATTAAGCGAGTCGTTCACACAAAGTAAAAACTGGGGCATAATACCATGAATTGACAACATTCGAGTGAATTTAAAGTGTTTAAACGAGTTTTCTGTTAATTCTGTAAATGCTTCTAAAGTGTTTTTTTTTTTTTACAGACGTCCTTAGTTCAAAACTGCTACTCTCGGTTATATATTGTAAATTCCCCTTTATTTAGCCCTGTATGAGTAAAACTAGAATGGAACTATTGTCACTGTTGGTACTAGCTATCAATATGCCTCAATCTAAATCTGATTCATCGTATGGAAGCGTCATGAAGTTACGGGACGATCTTTTGGCCAACTACAGTCACACTTTAAGACCACTTAAAAATCAGTCAGAAGCGATTGACGTTGAATTATCGTTATTAGTGGATGGAGTAACCGAAGTGAACGACATCTCGCAAACAGTAACTTTAAATTTTGTTCTAAAAGTGAATTGGACTGATGAATTTCTTCAATGGGATAAAGATGAATACGGGATAGAGTTCATCAACTTGCCCAACTCTGCTAAATGGACGCCAAGGTTAATGGTTTTAAACTCCATTCATAAAAGAGCCATCTTTTCAGATGATCAGCATCCTTACATGATTAGCTATAATGGTCAAATAAATTGGACTCCTGCATCCGTCTTTACATTTTATTGTCAGTTAGATATGACTTATTTTCCATTCGATTCCCAAACCTGCACTATATATATCATGGCTATAGATTACAGTATGCAACAACTCAACATATATTTTGAAGAGGGACCGAGATTTACAAGTAAGCAAGAAAACGGAGAATGGGATGTGATCGATTTAGAGTTACAAGAAACTGCACAGAAGGATCTCACAGAACGACCTGAACATAAAGTTCTATTAAAGTTAAAGCGCAGATCAGCTTTTATTCTCTTGAATGTATATTTGCCAGTAATAGTCCTCTCTTTTTTAAATCTGGCAGTATTTGTAGTGCCCGCGGAGTCTGGTGAGAAATTGAGCTATGTTTTAACAGTACTATTGTCCTTAGCTGTATTTATTAGTGTCGTGAGTGGTATGTTACCTACAACATCTACTAATATACCAATAATTACCATCTACTTATCACTGCAGCTTCTAATAAGTACCGTATCGGTACTTTTAACAGTATACGTCATCAGAATACACCATAGATCTGCAGACAAACCGATTCCATCACACCTGCAATTCCTGACACGAATCATGAAGAAGAAAGCCAATAATAAAGTTGATCTTGGTAGTTCTGACGACAGGATCAAAAATTGGAATATCGTGGCATTATCAGTTGATAAGTTGTGTTTATACATTTTTACAACCATTGTACTTTCTTCATGTTGTGCGTTGCTATTTATCATAGCAAAAGACGAATATTAGCAATTTAGCAAATATTCAACAGCTTAAGACCAAAGAATATTGTCCAGTAAAATATCAAACTATATGCAGTTACATATACATGTACATCGTTTCATGTTGCTATTACGGCAGAGTACATCGTATTTTCCGTGTTTTTTTTGTTGTTGTATATTTTGACATTTCTGGAAAATCGTGGATTTTGTCTTATTGTATTGGATATACCATCCAAGACCCCAGAATAAGAAGAGAACAATCGTCGTGAAAGATATTGGCCAGATCACAAAGCAGCTGGTATTTGAAACTCCCATTATCGTATCGCTTTGTATAAGCGTAGAGATTATGGATTTCAGCTTTTTGTTGCATATGAACTGTAACTTACGTTCTCTTATCAAGTGTCTTTTTGTCAATTTTGTAATGTGTTCTGATAATCTTTTTGAAAACAAGTCTAGTCTATAATTTAAGTCGTTCTATCCAGTACGACTAATTTCTCTGACATGTAAAAGATTGCAGGGAAAACTTAAGAGAAAATCTCAGAATTTTGAGGATTTATAGAGGTAATGCAATTGATCAAGGATTCTGAAAAGGGTAATAGGAAGAAAAAGGTTTTAAACCCCTTCTCTAAGTTAGGTTTCAGATTGTTCAGGTATAAAACAAATAATGAAATCTTTTGCTGATGTTGAAACCTTCTGTTGTATGTTTTATACTATGATAACTCAAAAATTCAATGATATCAGCAGTTTCTACATAATTAACACCTTTGGCATCAATGCACTTGGTTCAATGGTGTTCAAGCATTGTTATCGCGTTGCTGAAAAAGCTGACCAGTAGGAACTACACCCAATCTAGAAATATGAATTAAAATATCCTTATTGTCCATGGTAGATTGTCGAGATTGATTTTAAACTTCTTCTAGAAGTATTTTTTTCAACATGCCATATTTCATAATATCCATCTTCTTATGATATTGTATATTATACACTGTGTTTTGTTTGTTTTTATATTTATTCTGACACAAAGATCTCAAGGGGACTTTCTCTTGTACCAAATTCAGATTGTCTACAGTTTAAAATGTAAAGAACCCGCATTGGCGAACATCTAATTTATACACATTTTGTTTATAAGAACTTAAAACTTAAGTCCTGTGACTGTGCTTACTCCCAATCTAATTAAAAATTTAATTACCATTTCGTATCTTTTTTGTTTGCTGATACTTTTAGTCTACATTGAAATCTAGAAAGTTTTCTACCAAATGCCTATCCCAATGATGTTATTTTAACCAATCAAAGCGTCGTGTCAAACCCATTTCTTGATCAAATAAAATAAGGAATTGTGGGTTGTCGACACCCAAAGAGGCTCTATTCAAGGTTTCGATATTCCATAATTTCTTTTTCTTTTTTTTTTTTTTTATCAAGAAACGGGTTAAAAATACTATTTAGTAGAAAACCCCAGGCCATAGAATATGTCAGAATTCCACAACCAAACTTATTCTTTTTTATTTATTTCTTCTTTTTTACTTTTGAAAATCTAAAAACAAGTCTGGCGTGTTTTATCAAATGTCCATTAGTTTAAATAGCATCTACATGTATATATAAATAGGATCTATCAATATTTGTCTGTTTGTCCCATTAGTTGTATTTGTGAATAAATATTGTTGAAATTAAAATCTTTTCTTATTTCATAAATTATATAATGGAATCTATATTTGTATGTGATATTTGTAATACAACGCCCAGGCACATTAGGGCCTCGGTTCATTGTACCACTTTTCCATGGAGCAGTTTCGTCCGAATTTCGAATTATATATAAATGGGATCGAATTTCAAAACCTCTATTTGAACGGGTCGGTGCCCTTAAAATTTGATTTGTTGGCTCTGTACGTGTCATCATAGCTACGATTGGACAAACATGATAAAACAAATACAGCATTACCGATTAGTCCTGAACTGACTTAAAAACCAGTCAATGATTGCTCTTGACACTGATTGGTGATCATTTGTCTAATCAGTCGGCACATTCTAAGAGTCGCGTTCTGTTCGAAATTAATATGAGAACAATCAACAATTTTAGAGAAAAAAGTATTTGAATGCAGATCTGAAATTTTTCTGTAGTATAGAATATGGAAAAGCTTTATTGCTTCCTAAACTCTGGAGTTTGGTGACTTCTGGTTTATGATTTATACGTCAAAATGTTCGTTATAGATTCCAACCTATGCGAAAGATAGTATTTGTAAAACTGTCGCAAAACGTATCGAATTAATATCTGTTTGGCTTAGGTGGAAATATTATCCAGACTGAACTTTGACACTACCACACGTTACACTACCATCCAGACAACACCACAGCGTTACTGTTAATTTGTAAAGGCAGAAGACGGGTAACGTTAGGTGGAAGTGGATAGCCTAAGTAACATGAATTGGTAAAGTTGTTTTAATATCTTTAAAATTTGGCTACAGTTTGAAATTGGGCCTAAGTCTGTAATATTCATAGGTCTTAATAAGAGTCAGAATTAAAATTTGACTGGATTTTAGAAAAAAAACTAATTATGCCGAAACGATAGCTACGACTTCTACTTATTATTAGTAGTTATTCTAATTAGTATCGGCAATATCTGTATCGGTGAATGATGGGCATGTTCGATAACAAATATCAGATTTTAATTCAGTCACAAATAAACCAGTTCAGTGAGACTAATACTGTGCTCTTTATTATTAGAGGTAAAAACAGTAACCAAGATGGCGTCGATTGACAGCTTCGAATTTTTATTTAGAGAAGTTTCACACTTATTTTCTTGTTACAGAGACGGCCTTGCATTTATTGGAACATATTATACACTGAAGAAGGCTTACCAGATATCTAATTATGTTGTCAATGGTTTGGCGAACAATGTTCTCATTCAACTTCATTCTAAACGAGATCTCAGAGTTCAATTTGGAATGTGGGCAGGTTGGCCTCATCTCATTTTCATTTAAATTTTAATATGACTTTTATTATTACTATAACAATTATAGCTTGTAAAATATAAAATTTCACCCAATGGTTGAGCACTACCCAGACCAATTCCATTGCAAATTTGGTTTGAGCTTATTAAACATTTGTAGGGTAGGCCTAATACGATACCCAAAAATAATGTTTTCCAGGAAGTAATATAACGTTTATGTCTAATTTCAGTTGTAACAGGAGGGAGTGATGGAATAGGTAGAGCATATGCTCAAGAATTAGCTAGTCGCGGTATGAATATTGTTCTTATTAGTCGAGGGCAGAAAAGACTTTATGATGCTGCTAGTCAAATCAGTAGGTAGTTTTTAAGCTGAATAGAACTTATATTTCAAGACATTTTATATATCAGATAGGCCTTATTCATAAAAAATAACAATTATTGTTATTAGCAAGCATTGATAAAAATATAATCAATTAATTTTGTAAAACTGTATGGTATCCATATACTAAACATGTCACTTTCACCTAGATAAGCTTAATAGAGGTTCTTGATTGGCTTTTCTGGGAACACCTGAGGATTTTGACGCCATTTTTAAGTATCAAACGTAAAGGGCCACATGAAAGGGTATGGACAGTTTTAACACTTGGAAAACCATACTCAACTGGTGCCAAAGTTTTAATGTCAAATCTATGTCTTTCCATTCTGTGGTATCTTATGATGTTGAATTTTATTAGTTTACCTAATAGCTTTTGATTATTATTTCATTTCAGAAAAAATGTTTAATGTACAAACTTGTACAGTTGCAGTAGATTTCTCGCATACAGAAGGAACTTATGACAAGATAAGAAAAGCCTTAGGTGATAAAGAAATTGGAGTTCTAGGTAAAAATTTACATTAATATATTTTTTCGACTGGTGAACAGAAAATATAAATAGATATTCAATTGATATCTGCCATCTTGAAACCTGAGAAGTGACCATAAGAGATTCATACAAATTAGGTCAAATCAAGTCATATTTAGCTTCCTGTGTATCCAGAATGAACATGAGTACATATTTTTCTAAAGATAGACATAGAAATATGTAGAAAATATCAAAAAATATCTAGAAATTTTAAACAAAATTTTTGGTCATGAAAATCTTTATAATGCATGATTATGTATATTATATAATTATACTCAAATGTGTCATGTTTGGACCTAATTATTCTGAACTGTATTTTTCAGTGAATAATGTTGGAATGATGTATGATTTTCCACGATATTTTCTAGATGTTCCCGCAGAGGTGGGTCGACACATGTCTTAATTTTGGTAGTTTGATTCAAATAAAAAAAATAAGGAAAATTTATAAGATTTAATTTTGCTTTTTATAACAACCCTTCACATGACTATAATAAAAGTTTATAAAATTCTGTCTTGTATTTACAGAATCTTAGTCAGATAATACAAGTGAATTGTACTGCTGCAACTTTGGTAAGTCTAGATTAATGCAATTTTTAATGAATCTGTAAAGCTTACTAAAGGTACCTTTACACCATAGCGAATTATGGTTGTGAATAATCCAAATGATCACGAGTACCGAACGAACTCACAACGCATTTGTTATCTGATATTACTGTGTCTGTGGCGTTTGTTATCTGATATAACTGTGTCTGTGGCGTTTGTTATCTGATATTACTGTGTCTGTGGCGTTTGTTATCTGATATAACTGTGTCTGTGGCGTTTGTTATCTGATATTACTGTGTCTGTGGCGTTTGTTATCTGATATAACTGTGTCTGTGGCGTTTGTTATCTGATATAACTGTGTCTGTGGCGTTTGTTATCTGATATTACTGTGTCTGTGGCATTTGTTATCTGAAAGTAGTATGTTCTTATGATGGATATTGACTAAGCAGTTATGAAATCATTATATTATATATCTATTGTAGATGACTCATATGGTGTTACCTGGTATGTTAAAAAGGTAAGATATCCCTCTAACATAGCTATGTATTAGTGCTGAAATTTGCACTAAATATTTTCTGTGAAAAATTTATGGGTCTTATACAATTCAAGCCAATTGGTCAAATGTTACTGAAATTAGAAGAACCACAGTGCATAGAAATTTAGAATCCCCTGTATCTAATGAGGCTGTTCATTTTTACCCTGCTGAAGCACCAAATGGCATTCCTATACTGATTCAACTCATCAACTCTTTCTGAGAGGTTATATGGTTAATAATGCTCATATGATTTTTATAGAAAAAGAGGAGCTGTTGTTATGATGTCATCAGGAGCTTGTACACAGTGTACACCACAAATGACAGTCTATGCTGCCACCAAGGTAAGTCATTTTTAGCTAGGGCAGTATTTACTGAATTTACACAATGACAAAAAGTAGTGCTTGGACTAAAATTTGCAACTTTCTATTTTTGCAAAAGGCATACAGGGTGAATTGGAAGAAGCATATTTGGGCCCTGTGCTCTACAGACTGTTATATGGAAGAATTGTCCTCATTGCACACTGCATAGCATTAACAACTTCATCAGCCTGTAATCTGCACAAGACTTCATATTGTTTATGAAGAAGAAAGGGAAGACAAGTTTTCTAGTTTTAATTGTGTATATGGAATTATTGAAATCCCATTTAAAGATCTGGTCATGTTCACAGTAATGATGTAAAATTTCAATATTAATTAGCATGCAGGTGTAGAGAAATTGCATGTTTCATCTCATTTCTGTGTATATTTGTAGAGTTATTTAGATTATTTTACCAAGACTTTACAGTATGAATATAAGGGAAAAGGTGTGATTATTCAGTGTTTAAAACCTTTCTATGTGGCAACTAAAATGACAGAGTACAGTGAAACACTATCAAATCCTAATCTCTGGATTCCCTCTGCTAGTATATATGCCAGGCATGCTGTAAAAACATTAGGTCGTGTTCCAGTATCAACAGGATATTGGCCACATGCTATACTTGTAAGTAATTCTATATCTCTTCTTATGTGGCCACATTGATGCTTATGATATATTCTGAAGAAACATGGGCATCTTAAAGGTATTGTAAAGAGGTTTTCTAAAATTTGTACGTATATCGGGGTACACTGATAGCATCAATTTAAGCCATTCCAATTTTCAGTCAGAGGTCTGTGGTTCCTGCAATTCCTCTATAACTAAGTGTTTGATGACATCACTAACTGCAAAATATACTGTATTGCATAAGGACTTCATGATTAGTGACAATGTTTTAAGGGAATCGCAGGAACCACAGACTTCGTCGTATCACAAATATGGGTTTTGACACGGTGTTATTAACGGCGGAAGGAGGAAGTATGGTGAATGTCTGATTGAAAATTGGAATGATGCAAATTGATGCTATCAGTGTCCCCAATGCACATAAAAAATTTAGAAAACTTCTTTACCAGCTCCAGCTGACAACTGCCAAATCTATCAGAGGCTGGAATAGAGAAAGATGTTTCGGAGTAGTATTATATCAAATTATGAAGGGGACTACGTGAACGCTAGCTATGCTTATATCTTATAATCTTCCATATTCTAGGCCTGGCTTACAGAATTAATACCAGAATTTCTCTGGATGTGGGCAGCCTCTGGATTAAATACAGCATTAAGATCTCAAGCTAAACGTAGATCAAAACATCGAAAAACAACAGAATCAGATCAATCTATGGACAGTCCATCAGACCATAGTAGCTTTCTTTCACCATCTACGTCATTTTGATTTTTCCCTGAATCATATTTATTAATCATAATTTTATGGTATTTTTGAGAAGAGTCTTCATCTCTGTATATCATAAGGGGACAGGTTACTCATTTTCGGGAGTTGATTTGAATCTTGAATATATCATAATTATAGTCTTCAGAAGTACTACAAATGTACGAAAATCACATAATTCCTTCAAAAATACCTCAAACTAGGAATTTCACTTTCTATTTCTATAAATATAGAGACTATATATGTCTTCTCTATATAATATATATGGCTTAGTCTCATAAGACAAGTGTTCATTTTAACTTTCAAACAAGGATCAGGTTTCTTTTGCTGGCAAAAAATATCATATGTTACTATTATTATTATTATAATTGCTCAAACATACCTATTTTAGTATTTTATCACTGAAATTGAATTTGAGCCATAATGGAATATGAATTTTGAATTTTTTGTTCACTATTTTTTAGTCCCTTTTTTTTTTATTGAATTGATATATAATGTAAATTCAAATCACGTTTTATTTACAACTGTTGTATATATGAATAACACATTGACTATAGTTTAAGGTTTTTTCCTGAATTGTAGGAAAACTGGACACTGGATTTGAATTATAAAAAGCGATACCAGTTGCTAAAACATACAAGGCAATTAGTCTTTATCCCTTTGATAAGTTGAGATCTGGTCATTTCAGGCCATATTTGTAAGCAAATTTCAAATTTCAAGGAAGGTAACGTGTATATATTTTTTTAAATCCCGTTTTTGAAATGATTACGTCATAATTACTAGGCTCCTGTCCCTATTATAATTTTAAAAAATAAAATCTGCTTTTTCAGTGATCTGAACTGATGATAATACAAATCTAGAATGTTTTTGTTTTTCAAAAGATATAAGAAAAGAATGCTCTTTCTTTGATTATGGTTTGATTGGGATAATATTATGTTGCAAATGTTTGAACTGAAATTGAAAGTACTTTGACTGGTGTGTTTATTATTAATTTTGTATTTTTACTAAAATTTTGATAAAACTTGTATGTTTGTTTAGATGATTTTGTGTGGTTTATGGATCTAATGTCTTACCCAATAAGGTGTAGGAGAGTTGGAAGTAAAACTCCATTCATTTCATTCATTTCTTATAAATATTTTTGGAACATGTATTTTCATTTTTAAAAAATGAATTAAGCGAGCCTTGATCTTTCATTAGCATTGAGAACTATTTTTAATTTGGAGACTGCTTGTTGTTATGCATTTACTTTATTTGATTTTGATTTGAGGAATAAATACATTTGTTGTTGTTTTATTTATATTTTGAAAATGATCAAATTATCAAAATATCAAAAGTCCTTTCTTTTTACAGTAGAGCCACTTGAATCAGCGCTTTCCAGGTGTCTGACAGCTTGTCATTCTAATATCTGTAAGTAGTTATGCTATACTTATACTATCTACAGTTTAAATGTACCCTTCCCGTTCATAGCGCTCATACGAAACTCGAAATAGCAACGAATACGTCAACAATGTTCACTACGACGTTCACACACACACACTTACACATTTGGGAATATTCTCTGAATTACTGTTGTATGGAATATTTATACAATACGCTAAAGGTTGAGTTAAAACTGAACGTTAAGATGAAAGGAATTTTGACAATCGGACTGTTTTTGAACCAGAACAAAATTTAATTCGTAAAAGATGGACATTCTCCAATGACATTAATGTAAAAAACACATCGGAATATAAATCGGCTATTGGTTGTCCATTGGCTTGAGCTCCATTTTTAAGAAATTAACGTAGGAGAATTAAAATATATAAAATCATGTTATATTACACAAAAATCATGATTACAAAACAAGAAATACATAAAACAAATAAATGTTTCTATCAATTTAAGCCTTATTTGCCACAAAAAACAAAATAATTACACACACGGTACATGATAATAGATAATACCGAATGCGAAGTAAGTTGTAAGTAAATTCCATGGCATCAAAAATGTAATACAGTTAGTGGTATCGAATGTGGCCAACGCTTGTACCATGACGTTACAACAGTATTTGTGAAAGCATTTGGTCACAACGATGGACCCGTTGTCGAAATAACTTGAACACGTGAGAAATCATACACTTGATATTACATTTAATTTTTTTGTGATCATTATATCAATAGCGTAGCCTGTTGATTTTTGGAACCATGATGGCCAAATATATTTTATAATGCCTTGCGACTTAAAAGGTGAAAGGTGGCTTCACGTTATGAGGAAGAAAATGTGGCTTAAAGTTTCACAGAGGCATGATGGCGAGAAAATACAATGCCCAAATACACACATAAATTGACTTATGGTTCTTGGAAGATACCCAGACTACGCCTCTTGAGGTTCATGTATGTTGTCTGTATACAGATGACCTCCTTCATAAATGCTCATGTTTTATAACTAAAATTTGCATTACTGAGTGCTATATCAAAACAAACAAATAACATACAAAATGAAAAGTATACACAAAATTCGTATTTACAATGTTATGAAAAAAATTTAAAAGTTTTTCAAATTTGAAGCTTATTCTAAAAATATAAGTATTTAAGTATCGAAATCGTATGGCAAGTTGATCTGAAGGCCGAATAATACCTTCGGATAAAAATCCTTTTCAATGCATTACATAGCCATTATCCCGTAAGCTGCCTTGAATCGAGCTTCGGCAGCAAGGTTTATAAACTTCTCCACAAAGCATTAGCCTGTTACCGGGGTGGAATTTCATAATATATTCAAAGAAATGCTATAAATATAATTATTTGCCTATATACCTAAAATATTTAGAAATATAATCATAATAATAATTGTAGTATCTACGATAATAATTAGTGAGATTATTATAGAAATTAAACACTCTAGATTTTACAGTCGAGTAAGTATTTCTCAAAACAGTCTTTCCATATTCGTAAGCTTTACGTATATTTTTGTACATGGCAGTGAGCTTAGATCTGAAAAATTGTTTACCGCGTTGGAACGGTACATAAACAAGATTCACCACACCTTTACGAGCTAGAGTCCATAAATTGGCCAGTTTCTTCAACGTTGAACGTAATATTTGACGTGATCTTCTATAAATTGCCAAAGCTACATCTCTTCCAATTGTGTATGCTCTTTTAGCTACTTTATAAACAGTGATAGTAACCGTAGGCAAAGTGGCTTTTGTAACATTTGTATCGTTTTTGGGAGGTGTTTTTGTTTCATTCCTCATATTCACGTTAACATAAACATCCTTTCTTCCATGTGGCTTTTCAGGCTTTCTGACTCTTATGATCTGGGTGATACGACCAATTGATGGTTTGAACGTACGAGGGGGTGCTTCAGTTGTGGGTACGCGACCCATTGTGGTTCGGTCACTACCTCGGGTTTTTGATACAAAATAGGTCGTGAATATAGGAGAGTCGGTTGTAGTGGTATCTAATTCTTCTTCCGTGGCAGTCTCTATATCTCTCTTAAAAGTGGTACTTGCATCTTCCTCCGTGGAGGTTTCCAGATCATCAGCAGAAGTAGTCTCAATACCATCCCAGGTCGTCGTCTCATACTCTTCTTCTGTAGTTGAGAAGGGAGCTACCGTACTATACAGCCAAGACGAAATCGTTGTTGTGAAGTCTGACTCTGTAGTGAGATCTTCCTCAAACGTAGTTTCAGAAGAGTCTGTTGTTTGTTCAGTTGTTTCCGGATCCATGGTAGAGAGGGTATCATATAGCCAAGTCATAGCACTTTCCATAGTGGTACTTATTTCGTTTGTAGTTTCACCACTAGCATCCACACTGTCGGTTGTGGAACCAAAGTCTGACGATGTGGTTAAATCAGTAGAAGTACCAGAAGCGTCGGTTATGTATTCGGGCGTATAATCTGTGCTAAAGTCAGACGTTGATTGCTCTGTGGTAAAGTTAGTTGCGGCATCTTGTGGATAGTCGGTGTAGCTATCGGTGGTATACGCCTCTGTTGTACCGTCCCCACTAGACTCAATTGTAGTATCCGTGTCATTGATATCTACTGGAAGAGTTGTTACCTCCGGAATTTCAGTTGTTGCTAAGGTTGTTTCATTATCAAGTACGACAGTATCATTGACAAAGGGAGTAACATCTGTGGAGGCCTCGAATGTTAAATAGTCTACACTTGAATCAGTAGTAATTTCGGCAGTGTATGTACTAAATTTATCACCAGTGGCATCCTTTTCTATGCTGTCTTCAGTCGTAAATCCGGAATATGATTCGCTTGTGAATGAACTAGTATCATCGAAGACTGTGGTGGATTGGTTAGATGTTGAAGCACTACCAGTTGAACCAGTGCTGCTACTATCAGTTCTAGAGTCAATATAGTTTGTTGAGTAGGTACTATCAATTTTATCAACTTCGGTACTACTATATTCAGGTGATTGAGTACTGATAGATTCTGGTAATTCAGTGCTACCCAAGTCCGTAGATTGTGTACTACTTAAATCTGGCGATTCGGTATCGGGACTAGCTAAATCAGACGATCCGGTGCTACTTAAATCTGACGATTCTGTGCTACTGAAATCTGGTGATTCTGTGCTACTGAAGTGTGGTGCTTCTGTGCCACTGGAGTCGGTTGATTCCGTACTACTTAAATCTGGTGATTCTGTGCTTCTGGAGTCCCTAGATCGTGTGCTACTGAAATCTGGCGATTCGGTATCGGCACTAGCAAAATCAGATGATTCGCTGCTGCTCAAATCTGATGATTGGATGCTACTTAAATCTGGTGATTCTGTGCTACTAAAATCTGGTGATTCTGTGCTACTAAAATCTGGTGATTCTGTGATACGTAAATGTAGTGACTCTGTGCTACTTAAATCTACTGACTTTGTGCTACTGAAATCTGGTGATTCTGTGTCACTAAAATCTGGTGACTCGGTGCTACTTAAATCTATTGAATCGGTGCTACTTGAATCTGGTGTATCTGTGCTACTGAAATCTGGTGTTTCTGTGCTACTGAAATCTGGTGATTCTGTACTACTGAAATCT